TATTACCCCGTCGTCGGAGACGTTTCTCCGTGCTCCCCAGAACAAAAGGCCCTTTTCACGTCCTCAGCCGCCACCTCCGCTTCTCACCACCTCCTGTGCAAACAAGACTGGATATTAATTTTATTTCCAAATTAGAAAAGGTTTTGGATAAATATTGAATGAGAAATGCAAGCGCTTAGGGCTCAGCGTAACTCGTGGCGGTGCTAACAAAAGCGGCCGCTTTCGGGGTAATGTCAACCCGGGCCTCAGGAAGCGAACCCAATCACTCCAGGTTTCTTTTATTTATTCTTCACCCTCATAAATTTCCTGGCGGCGTCGTCGTCGTCCATCTCTTTCTTCTTCTTTTTTTTCTTTATTTTTTTCCTCACGACTTGGACTTTGCGGATTCCAGTGCGAAGTTCTTCTCACAGCGCGTTGGAGGGTATTGAATAGAAGCATAGCATGCCAGCAGGAGGTGCAACGTCTTTTGTGAACGACATAAGCCTATGGGTATTTATTGTGACGTAATGTAACAGTGAGGTATTTACTTTGATTTATCCGTTTAGTATCATTTTTTTCTGTTTTCTCACTGTCTGCTAAGCTTAAAAGTGACTTATTTGTGTCATGTAGGATATTTTAACAATTCCGCAAAAATGTGAATAAAAAAGAATTCAAAAAAGAAAAAGAAATTTAAAAAAAGATAAAATAAGACAAGGGAATTAAAAGTTCTTCTGTTGTGGACTTAAATGTCTAAGCTTCGTTAACGTTTTTACTATGATATTTTAAAACATGTCACATATTCTCCTCTTGCAAGGGCGTTAACTCACTGAGTAAGGCGTTAAATATCGGTTCACATTATTTGTCCGGGTTCCAAGCTAACGTGGATCCTTAAGATTATAATTAATCCCAAATGATTAAAAATTGAGTTAAACAAAATATGTTATATTTTGCGTGATATTATGTGTTCTTTTTTACCCTATCAGTACGCCTGGGGTCATTTCGTACCCCAGGGGTTGTATTTTTCACATTTTACAATATTTCTAGCGAGAAGACCTCTTTGAAACGTTCAGTATTTCTCAAAAAATTATTTTGACAGACTGCTATGCAAAGCGTACGGATCAGATTAACG